CCCCGGCGGAGCTCCTGGTGGGTGGAGGTGCTGGTGGGAGCAGTTTCCTTTCTGGCTTGCTTCTCTCAGGAGCTCTCACTGCAGCAGCTTCAAGGGTGAGCTGGAGGCCACAGAGCCGGGGCCACATCCGGCTGTGTCGGTGGAGGCGGGGACAGCGGCTGATGCTGTCACTCTGATCCCCTCACCAAGCTGCCCGGCTACCAACACTTCCTTCTTCCTTTCCCTCACCTGCCAGACTCCTGTCTCTGAGGCAGTTCTAGTCTCTTTGATCATGTTCAGCTGCCTCAATTGCATGCCACATGAAATTTTCTGATTCCTTGTAGGCCTGAAACCCCCTTTTTATTTTTGCTTTTTAGAGACTGGGTCTCGCTTTGTTGCCAGACTAGAGTACAGTGACACGATCTTTGCTCCTGCGGCCTCAAGCTCCTGGGCTCAAGGGATCCTCCCCGCTCAACCTCCTGAGTAGCTGGGACTACAGGTGCATACCACCACCCACAGCTAATTTTTAAATTTTTTGTAGAGACAAGGTTTCTTAATAATGATGTGTCAGTATGGATTAATTAATTGTAATAAATGTACTACAGTCATGTGATATGTTAATAACAAGGAAATGGGTTCAGGAGTATATGGGGAGACTCTTGGTGTAGCTTCTCACTTTATCTGTCCATCTTTTTTCTTTCTTTCTCTTTTGAGAGTGGTTTCACTGTTGTCCCCCAGGCTGGAGTGCAATGACAGAGTCTCCCCTGAGTGCAAGCTCCGCCTCCTGGGTTCAAGTGATTCTCCTGCCTCAGCCTCCCAAGTAGCTGGGATTACAGGCACCCACCACCACACCTGGCTAATTTTTTGTATTTTTAGTAAAGACAGGGTTTCACCATGTTAGCCAGGCTGGTCTCGAACTCCTGACCTCAGGTGATCCACCTGTCTCAGGGTCCCAAAGTGCTGGGATTACATGCAGGAGCCACTGCACTTTCGGCCTAATTTTCTGTACCTCTAAAATCATTCTAAAAAATAATGTTCATTAAAGCATGAAAAATGGGCGGTCGGTCACAGCAATTCACAAGGTCAGGAGTTCGAGACCAGCCTGGCTAACATGGTGAATCTGTCTCTACTAAAAATACAAAAATTAACCAGCACATGGTGGTCTGCATTGTAATCCCAGCTACTCGAAAGGCTGGAGGTGGGAGACCTACTTGGGAGGTTAAGGCAATGATTATGCTACTGCCCCTCAGCCTGAGTGACAGAATAAGACCATGTCTCAAAAAAAAAAACAAAAATGAAAACCAAAAACAGAAAACCACCCCCCCCCAAAAAAAAACCCTTGAAAAATCAAAAAGCAAGTGGAAAGAGGGAATAATAGCTAGCGGCTCAAAGTGTACCTTCTGTGACAATGAGACTGGAGATGCTTCCCGCTCCCGCCCAGCAACAGGGTTATCTTCAGGCGGCAGGAGAGAGGGCGTTGCAAGCGGGTGGGGCAGATCTCTTCGTAACTTGAGGAAGCTGAGGTTCACACCTGTTGGCCTCAATTTTTCCTGAGACAGGAGAGGTGGGCTGTGTGCAATGAAACTGTGGGTTGCAAGCAATGAAGACTTGAAGTCCCCAAAGAGAAGCACAGAGGAGAAGCCTGTGACGGGGCAAAGAGCAGTTTCCTCCCAGCACTGATGAAGAGATAAAACTTCCAGTTTGTGCAGGCGCTGCCCCAGGTGGACATCAAGCAGCAGGGCCTTAGCCCAACTAGAGCCTGAATTAAAGCGCTTCATGGGGTTCCACTTTTTTTTTTTTTTGAGATGACAGAGTCTTGCTCTGTCCCCCAGGCTGGAGTGCAGTGATATGATCTGGGCTCACTGCAACCTCCACCTCCCAGGTTCAAGCGATTCTCCTGCCTCAGCCTAGAGTGGCTGGGATTACAGGCGCACGCCACCACGCCCAGCTAATTTTTGTATTCTTAGTAGAGACGGGGGGGTTTCACCATGTTGGCAGCCAGCTGGTCTCAGAACTCCGGACCTCAAGGGATACGCGCGCCCGCCAGGCCTCCCAAAGTGCTGGGATTACAGCCGTGAATTTACCGCGCCCGGCCTGGAGTTCCCGCGCACGACAGAACGGTTCGTTTTATTCTTCCATCACGTTTTTCTGCCTTTAAGTCTGCTTGGTTTGGTTTCGGAGTAAAGTTCCCTTCTGAGTTCGCCACAGTGATGGCGGGAGGCAGTGGGAGGGTCGGCGAGAGACCTTGCTCCTTCGTGATTCACCCCGGTGGGGAGCCAGGGAGAAGAGTGGCCAGAACTGGATGAAGATGTCCGGTGGAACGGTCACCGAAGCAGAACGCGGCTCTGAACGTTGGAAGAAAGCTGCAGCTGGAAAGAGACATTTGACCTTGAAGAGGTTGTCGGAAGAAGAGGAGCCGATCAAAGAGGCAGAAAAGGAGTGAGTGGGAGAGATGCCGAGAGAGAGGCAGTGCCCGCCGGGCAGGTGGCTCGGCCTGTAGTCCCAGCGCTTTGCCAGACGAGGCGCGCGGAGTTCGAGACCAGCCTGGCCGACAGAGTGAGCCCCACCCACCCCCATCTCTACTAAAATAAAATATAAAAATAAATTAGCTGGCCGGGCGCGGTGGCTCCAAGCCACCAATCCCAGCACTTTGGGAGGCCGAGAGAGGCGGATCACGAGGTCAGGAGATCGAGACCATCCTGGCTAACATGGTGAAACCCCTTCTCTACTAAAAAATACAAAAAACTAGCCGGGCGAGGTGGCAGGCGCCTGTAGTCCCAGCTACTCGGGAGGCTGAGGCAGAATGGCGTAAACCCGGGAGCGGAGCTTGCAGTGAGCTGAGATCCGGCCACTGCACTCCGGCCACTGCACCCCAGCCTGGGCCACAGAGCCAGACTCAGACTCCCTCTCAAAAAAATAAATAAATAAATAAATAAATAAATAAATAAATAAATAAATAAGCCGGGCGTGGTGGCTCACGCCTGTCATCCCAGCACTTTGGAACCAAGGCTGAGGCGAGCGGATCGCGAGGTCAGGAGTTCGAGACCATCCTGGCGAACACGGTGAAACCCCGTCTCTACTAAAAATACAGAAAAATTAGCCGGGCGTGGTGGCGGCGCCTGTAGTCCCAGCTACCCGGGAGGCTGAGGCAGGAGAATGGCGCGAACCCGGGAGGCGGAGCTTGCAGTGAGCCGAGATCGCGCCACTCACTCCAGCTTGGGTGCGAGTGAGGCTCTGTCTGAAAAAAATAAATAAAAATTTAAATAAAGTAATTGAGAACGGAAGCTTTGGAGTCCGGGAGAACTTACTGAGCCTCAGTTTTCTCATCTGGAAACGGGGCGACGGATAACAAGGACCGTGCAGAATCCCCCCACGCGGGCGCCCCCGGCTCAGAGCCCGGCCCTGGGAGGCTGGAGCCGAGGGAAGCGCCAGGAGGGGGGTCCGCAGCCCCAGCGCCTCCCGCGACCCCCACTTGCGGCGGGATTCAGGCGGGTGGCGACCCCCGAGTCCCTCCCCTGGGGCGCCTCCCGACGCGTCCCGGCCCCGGTCTTAGCTCGTAAATCTCCTTCACACAGAGGCCCATAAATCAGGGGCCGGCGGAGGGACCCCCCAGCTCCCTGCCCCCACCCCACTCCTGGAGAGGCGGGGGGCGCAGGAAGCCCCTGGGATGGGGGCCGAGGCTTGTTAATTACAGGTCGCGGGGCCTGATTTATGGGGGGCGGGCCGCGTGCTGCGCGGGGGCTGGGCATGTCTGGGGGAGCCCAGACGGGTTACAGGAGGCCTGAGGGGCTCCTAAGTTCTTAGGGCCTTGTTGAAAGGACAGTCTGGAGAGTCATCCACCATAACGTGTTCCTACGTAAATAAAATATAAACGTAGTAATACGCATGGCTAACGCAATGGAGAGACTGTGTGCCCAGCTGTGCTGAACACTGTATCAACTCACCAAATAGTTACTGAGTGGCCTATTGGGTGCCAGGAATCTTGCGTGTATATATATTATCTGCTGAACGTCACCAGGCAGCTCTGAAAGTCGTTATGGTTCCCATTTTGCAGATGGAGAAATCAAAAAGAGAAGTGATTGATTTGTCCAAGGTCCCTTGACTAGTGAGTAGTGGGTTCAGGAATCGCACACCTCGACTCTGTCCTCCAAGCTTAACCTGCTTGGACTAGGTTATTTTACCACCTGCTTTGCTGGCTTCCTGCTCCACCCATGAGCTGCCTGACACTGAGCAAGCGTCTTAGCCTCTCTGAGCCTCAGTTCTCCTCAGGAATAAAAGAGTATTCTGCCCTACCTACCTCACAAGGAGTTAGGAGGATCCAATTTAAAGGAAATTTATGAAAGTCCTTTAAAAATTTTCTCAAGTTCTACATGAGGCTGGGCGCGGTGGCTCACGCCTGTAATCCCAGCACTTTGGGAGGCTGAGGCGGGTGGATCACGAGGTCAGGAGTTTGAGACCAGCCTGGGCAACATGATGAAATCTCATCTCTACTAAAAATACAAAAATTAGCTGGGAAAGGTGGTTCACGCCTGTAATCCCACCTACTTGGGAGGCTGAGGCAGGAGAATCGCTCGAACTCGGGAGGTGGAGGTTGCAGTGAGCCGAGATCACACCATTACACTCCAGCCTGGGGAAAAAAAAGAAAATTCTATATGAATTCTGTATTAGGCCGGGCTCAGTGGCTCACGCCTGTAATCCCAGGACTTTGGGAGGCCGAGGCGGGCAGATCACGAGGTCAGAAGTTTGACACCAGCCTGCCCAACATGGTGAAACTCTGTCCCTACTAAAAATATAAAAATGAGCCAGGCATGGTGGCGTGTGCCTGTAATCCCAGCTACTCAGGAGGCTAAGGCAGGGGGGGAATCGCTTGAACCCGGGAAGCAGAGGTTGCAGTGAGTCGGGATTGCACCAGTGCACTCCAGCCTGAGTGACAAAGCGAGACACTATCTCAAAAAAAAAAAAAAAAAAAAAAAAAGTATTAGTTTAAGGTGATTTTAGGTACCGTAATGGATAAATCTCAGTGGCTTAAACATGAAGATTTATTTCCTGCTCATGGAGTCATTCATGTGGTGTCTCTGGTCAGGCAGTATTCCTGGGCAGCTCTCCTCCTGCCACGATGAGGGCCCCAGACTTCTTCCTCTTGTCTTCAGTTTGTGGCCCCCATGGCTGGCCTAGGGGACCTGAAGCCAGCAGGACGGGACATGGAGGCTGCACAGGTATTGGAGGGAAGTTCATATGGGTGGGCCTGCAAGTGGCACTAATCAGTCCTGCTCACAGTCACCGGAGAACTCAGTCAACTGCAGGAAAGCCTGGGAATGGAGAACTGCTGCATTCATTACATCTTGTGGAGTAACAGACGACCTCAAAACCGACTGCTTTAAAACAACCATAAACATGTGTTAGTTCAGTTTCTGTGGGTCAGGGTTTTAGGAGCGACCTTCCTGGGTGGTTCCCTCCTCCTCTTGTTCATGACGGAGGATGCATGTGAGTCCTAGAGCTCCTGCAGCCCTTTTGCCACTATGAGGTAAGCCACCTTGAGAAAGAAAATATGAGTTAGGCACGGTGACTCACACCTGTAATCCCAGCACTGTGGAAGGCCGAGGCGGGTGGATCACGAGGTCAGGAGTTCAAGACCAGCCTGGCCCACATGGTGAAACCCCGTGTTTACTAAAAATACAAAAATTAGCCGGGTATGGTGGCATGTGCCTGTAATCCCAGCAACTTGGGAGGCTGAGGCAGGAGAATTGCTTGAACCTGGGAGGCAGAGATTGCAGTGAGCTGAAATCCTGGCCACTGCACTCCAGCCTGGGCGACAACAGAGCAAGACTCCGTCTCGGAGGAAAAAAAAAAAAAAAAAAAAAAGCAAGAAAGAAAATACGGAGAAGAGATATGAAATAATCACAGAAGAAGAGTTATAGACCAGGCGAAAGGATAATCAAATTCCTGTGGAAGTGTAAAGAGCCAAGAACACCCAAGAGAATTCTGAAAGTGAAAAACAAGCCGGGCGCGGTGGTTCATGCCTGTAATCTCAGCACTTTGGGAGGCCGAAGCGGGGGACCACAAGGTCAGGAGATCGAGACCATGCTGGCTAACACAGTGAAACCCCATCTCTACTAAAAATGCAAAAAATTAGCCGGGCGTCATGGTGGGCGCCTATAGTCCCAGCTACTCGGGAGGCTGAGGCAGGAGAATGGCGTGAACCAGGGAGGAGGAGCTTGCAAAGAGCCGAGATCACGCCACTGCACTCCAGCCTGGGCGACAGAGCGAGACTCCCTCTCAAAAAAAAAAAAGAAAACGAAAACCGAGACTGCAAGGTTGCCTGGCCAGATAGGCATTACCCAGAAATGGTTGGAGGTGGCATGGCGGATATGTGGCATTACAAATCACTGGAGGCAGGGTGAACAGGTCACCAAAGGGATTTGGAAAGATTGGTAACTGGGTTCCAAGGATGACAATAATAATTAAAGCAATAATAATAGTGGCAATAGGAATGTAGTAATGGATGCCATTTATTGACACCTACAAAGTCTTAGAGATATATATATATTTTTTTTTTTTGAGGCAGGGTCTCACTGTGACCCAGGCTGGAGTGCAGTAGCTCAATCATGGCTCACTGAAGCCTCCACTTCTCGGGCTCTAGCTGGGACCACAGGCACGAGCCACCATGCCCAGCTAGTTTTTTATTTATTTTTTTAGAGACAGGATCTTGCTGTGTTGCCCAGGCTGGTCTGGAACTCCTGGCCTCAAGCAATCCTCCTGCCTTGGCCTCCCAAAGTGCTGGGATGACAGGTAGGAGCCACCGTGTCTGACTAGAAGTCTACTTTTGGCTTCTCCACAAGGGAGGTGTCATCTTTTTTCCTTTTTTTTGAACGCAGTCTCGCTCTGTCGCCCAGGTGGTGCAATCTCAGCTCACTGCAAGCTCCGCCTCCTAGGTTCAAGCAGGTAATACCTGTCTGCCTCAGCTTCCCAAGTAGCTGGGATTACAGGTGCATGCCACCGGGCCCGGCTAATGTTTTGTATTTTTAGTAGAGACGGGGTTTCACCTTGTTGGTCAGGCTGGTCTCAAACTCCTGACCTCATTATCTGCCCTCCTCGGCCTCCCAAAGTGCTGGGATTACAGGCACGAGCCACCGTGCCCGGCCTATAATTTCTCTCAAACAGATGAGAAAGCCAAACCTCAGGAGGGTAGTGAAGATCTCTTGAGCCCACACATGGCTCTCAGCCTCTTGGGCACCAGGTAGGAACCGTTTTTCCTCCCAGTAACAGAGCCCTTTCCTGAGAGCTCCCGGCCTTCAGCAGCCCTGGGCCTGGTAGGCAGAGCTCGCTGTCCACACCAAGCCAGCACCCACCTACCTACCCCCACACCCGCTCCCAACTCCCCCACCACCCCCCCACCCCTGCCCTGGCCCAGACCTGGAATTCCTTCTCCAGACTGACTCTGGGGCAGACCTGAGGCTGATTAGACCCCAGCTAAAAGCACAGAGGCCTCTTTGTCATTTCTTTAATGAGAAGCCAATCGCCGGGTCATTAGTGGGTGGAGGCGATGAGCAGTTTGGTACCGGGGTGGGAGGGAGGAGAACACTCCTGCTTCTCTGGATGATTTACAGATGCGGTGGACATGCTGGCTGGGGAAAGGAGCAGAGGGTAGGAAGAAGAGAAAGTTAATATTCACAGAGTTCCTTCTGGGAGCCAGGCCCTGCACCGAGAGCATAAAAACATGGTATTTCATTTAATCCTACAGTAAACTTGATGAAGCAGTACCACTGCATACCCCATTTTACAGACAAGGAAACGGAGGCTCAAAGATGTGAAGCCTCTTGGCCAAGGCTACACAGCTAGTAAATGATGAGCTTATTCCAGAACCTGCACAACACTCTGCTGTTCAGTGTTACAGGCAGGGCTGGGGTGAGTGCAGGTGAAGAGCCAAGCAATATTCCAGCATTAGAGCAAGAAACAACAAGCAGTCGGCAGGTGCTGGACTGGGGGACGCTGCTCTGTGGGCTGAGAGTGGCAGCAGCAGAGAGGACCAAATGTGTGCATGAGCTTGTTAGAAAGAAACCCTGGGGTATTCAGTACGTTCTCCAGAAAAAGGATAATAATAACAATAGCTAATTATTAACTTTTTTTTTTTGAGATGGAGTCACTCTGTCAACCAGGCTGGAATGCAGTGGTGTCATCTCAGCTCACGGCAACCTCTGCCTCCCCGGTTCAAGCGATTCTCCTGCCTCTGACAGCCATCCTGGTCAACCTCTCTGACTCCCAAGTCAATCCCAGCTTCAAGAGGTGCAGCAGGTAACTGAACCTCTCTGACCCTCACTTTCTTCATCTGTGAAATGGATTGGTAACTGCCTCGTAAGAGAGCTGTGAGCATTAAATGACACCATGCACAGAAAGCCCTTAGGATGGTACCTGGCACATTATGGGCACTTAATAATTAGTTATTATCTGCCAGGCATGGTGGCTCATGCCTGTAATCCTGGCACTTTGGGAGGCTGAGGTGGGTGGATCACGAGGTCAGGAGATCGAGACCATCCTGGCTAACACGGTGAAACCCCATCTCTACTAAAAATACACAAAATTACCTGGGTGTGGTGGCGGGCACCTGTAATCCCAGCTACTTGGGAGGCTGAGGCAGGAGAATGGCTTGAACCCGGGAGGTGGAGCTTGCAGTGAGCTGAGATCGTGCCATTGCACTCCAGCCTGGGTGACAGAAGGAGACTCCATCTCAAAAAAAAAAAAAAAAAAATTATTATTATTGGCCAGGTGCGGTGGCTCACACCTATAATCCCAGCACTGTGGGAGGCCAAGGTGGGTGGATCACCTGAGGTCAGGAGTTCGAAACAAGCCTGACCAATATGGTGAAACCCCGTCTCTACTAAAAATACAAAAATTAAGCCGGGCGTGGTGGTGGGCGCCTGTAATCCCAGCTACTCTGGAGGCTGAGGCAGGAGAATCGCTTGCCTGGGGACACAGAGGTTGCAGTGAGCCGAGATAGCATCACTACACTGCAGCCTGGGCAATAGAGTGAGACTCCGTCTCAAAAAAAAAAAAAGCAAAAAAGTCTGGGAAATTAACGTTGGGAAATTCATAAGAATTACAGGAACCTGGGCAGCTAGACCCACGGCCAAGCCAGGAACCTCCTCTAGATGCCAGGCTAGGACGTGGAGGGCCACCTGCCCCGGCACTGGCGCCGTGATTTCTCCACTGTTACCTGTTTGTTTCTCTGGGACATCACTCCAGATTCAAGTCAGGCAGTCAAGTGCCTGGACTCGTGTCTGTCCCAGTTACCAGAAATCTCCGCCACTCAGAGCCCCACCATGGAGGCTCCCTTCTCCCCAGACAGGTAGGCTGTTCAAATGCCACATATGAAACAGTGATAACAAAAACATCCACCACAGTGCACACCTGCAGTCACACCCACTCGGGAGGCTGAGGCAGGAGAATCACTTAAACCCGGGAGGCGGAGGTTGCAGTGAGCTGAGATTGCGCCACCGCACTCCAGCCTAGGCGACAGAGTGAGCCTCTGTCTCAAAAAACAAAAATCACTGGTTGTGGGTACCCTGGGTCCGAGGTGACCATATGCCACTAGCTTTCTTGTCCCCATGTCCATGGTTGGAACTTTGTAGAGAGCGTCTGAACTAAGGCTTCTGCTCTTAAAGGAGGATATGGAGATGACACCCCTTTTTGTCATCTGCGTTATCCCATTGGCACCCCCACATGTCAATTCTATTTTCCAAACAGGTGTTGACTCCATGCCCTTCTCTCACCGTCGCCTGCATAGCTCAGGCCCCCCCTTCCTCCAGGATCTTTGCTTCCTAAGTAGAATTTGTCTTAACATTCATTCTCCACACTGCTCAAAGAGCTCTAGCTGTAATTCAAATACAACTGTCATTCCTCAGTTTAATAACATTTTGCGGTACCCAGCTGCCTACGGGATGAAAAGCTTTTGGCAGGACGCCTGGTGATCTCCAACCTTGTCGCCCATCACGCCCTGGCCTCACATTTGGTGGTTTGGCAAAGTCACTTTCCTGTATTTTCCGCATCATCCTGTGATGGCTTAAGCTTCCAGGGCCTGGCACCTGCTGTTCCCTCTACCTCCTGTCTGCTTGGCAAACTGCTATTCATCCTTTGAAATCCAGTTCAGGGCCGGGCGCGGTAGCTCACGCCTGGAATCCCAGCACTGTGGGTGCCCGAGGCGGGCGGATCACTTAAAGCCAGGAGGAGTTCGAGACCATCCTGGCCAACATGGTGAAACCCCGTCTCTAGTAAAAATACAAAAAATAGCTGGGCATGATGGTGGGTGCCTGTAATCCCAGCTACTCGGGAGGCTGAGGCAGGAGAATCGCTTGAACCCGGGAGGTGGAGGCTGCAGTGAGCTGAGATCGCGCCACTGCACTCCAGCCTGGGCCACAGAGCGAGACTCCGTCTCAAAAAAAAAAAGAAAAACAAAAACGTTGTTGAATGAATGCATGAAGGGGCAGAGGCTAAAATTGCGCCCCTACGTCTCCCACACTGGGCCGCGTGTGGGTCGCCCGGGAGAGGAGGCGGCTCAGGGCTTCCTGGGACCCGCTCTCTGGAGGCTTCCTGGGACCCCCATGGGCGGCTCCCGGACTTTCTCTCCCGGGCGTTCTGTCCTCCCTCGGGGAGCGGCGCCGGAACTTCCGGAGGAAGAGCCGGAACTTTTGAACCCCAGGCTCCGCCCGGCGCTAATAGGCACCTTCGCGGCCGCCGGCGGAGCCGCCCGACCCTAAATCACGCCGCCGCGCCCGCCCGCCGCCTCCTCCCCCCCGGCCGAGAACTCGCGCTCCCGGGCACGGGCAGGTGCCGCGGAAATGCCAGGGCCGCCGCTCGCTTTGAAGTCAGCCGCGCCCCGCAGCGCCCGGGAGTCCCGGGTTCCAGGAGTGGGCGCCTCTCCCGGGTCCTCGGGGTTTTCACGTAGGGCCGTTTCCTGACCTGCGCGGGGAAGGGCGGGAGCGGCCGGGAAACGCCACCGGGAAACGTGCGCTGCGTGGGCATTTTCTTTGCTTTTAGTTACCTTGTTTGTTTTTTGTTTGTTTTTGAGACGGAATCTCCCTCTGTCGCCCAGGCTGGAGTGCAGTGGTGCTACCTTGGCTCACTGCAACCTCCAGTTCCCGGGTTCAAGCCATTATCCTGCCTCAGCCTCCCGAGTAGCTGGGACTACAGGCGCCGCCACCACGCCCGGCTAATTTTTGTATTTTCTTAGAGACGGGGCTTCACCATGTTGGCCAGGATGGTCTTGAACTCCTGACCTCAAGTGATCCGCCTACCTCGGCCTCCCAAAGTGCTGGGATTACAGGCGTGAGCCACTGCGCCCGGCCTCTAGCTGCTTTATAATTCCACATATATTGCAGATTTGGGGGAAATAGAACCTGGGAAATGCAGATGTCCTTAGGATGGTTTCATCCTACTGGGCAAGGCAGACAATCACAGAAGTAAATACATACACTGTGCTTCCTAATGCCTTGTTATTTTCTTCTATGGAGACATTCAGTTTGAAATAATGGGGTTACTGGCAACGCTTTCTTGGCGAGATGGATGTGAACCACACATCCATTCCAATGCCACAGGCCTTGGCATTTTGGAGGCATTTGGGTTGTGACTGGGAATGAGTGGCCCTCAGGTACTCCAAATAACTCAGCTGTGGATGCCGGAAATTCCACTGGGGGTCTTTCTCTGGGAATAAACATTATTTTTTTTCTGAGACCCTCTGTCAAATGCAAATCCCTGGGGGAAGAGGAGAGAGGCTGCTCATTGAGTTCATCACCTGGCAAAGCTGTGTCATGAGCTAGGGCTGCCACAGGGCTCTGGACCCCAAAGATGCCCCTGATGGGGACCCAGGGCTGCAAAGGGATCTTCCCCTTCACCCTCTGCTGCCGACTCAGCCCAGCTCTGCCTGCAGAAGGGGAGTCAAAGGGCAGTGGAGGGAGAGTCAGGCCCAACCAAAACCCGAACCCCAATTGCAGCCAGCCGCACTCCATAGCTGAAAAAGCCGGAAGCTCTGGGTCAGCCTTACCTGCAGGGCCCTGCCCCTCCCATATGAGCCCTGCTGGCACACTCATGCTTTTCCCAGTGACATCTCTGTGGTTGCCCACAGGACTTGACAAGACCTTTCAAGGTTTGTTGTTGTTATGAGATGGAGTCTTGCTCTGTCGCCCAGGCTGGAGTGCAGTGGTGGGATCTCTGCTCACTGCAACCTCCGGCTTCCGGGTTCAAGCCAGTCTCCTGCCTCAGCCTCCCGAGTAGCTAGGATTACAGGCACCCGCCACCACGCCCGGCTAATTTTTGTGTTTTTAGTAGAGACGGGCTTTTATATACCCTGTTGGCCAGGCTGGTCTTGAACTCCTGAACTCAAGTGATCCGCCCACCTTGGCCTCCCAAAGTGCTGGGATGACAGGCGTGAGCCGGCGCCCAGCCCTCTGCCACTCTTTATTTCTATCAGCTTTCCGGCTAGAAGCCAAACTTAGCACCGTATCTGGGAGTGAGGAGGAAGAATGTGGAACCCAGACACCCCACAGCAGCCCCGGAGCGAGGCAGGGCAAGGTCCCCCATGCAGCGTGGCGGGGCTGCCGTCTGGTCCCCGCTTACAAGAACCTGCAAGCTTCGCTCCTCGCTTTCCTTCTTCCCCTCGGTTCCTCCCTCGCCGACCTACCTGGAGGCCGGTAATAATGCAGGAGGAGGGAGATGGATGGATGGGAGGGCGGGGCGCCGCGTGGTGCCATAAAGCCCAGCTGGAGGGGGCCTGTCTCGGGAGTGTCCAGCCCCAGGAGCCGGGGACCTTCCGCGTAGCGAGCCGGGGCCGGGGCAGGGGGCAGACGGCAGAGGGCAGAGGGCCGGGACTGGGGCAGAGGGTGAGGGCCCGGGAAGGCCATGCTGCGGGGCGTGCCAGGACTAGGCCTCAGGGCGCGGAAGGGGGCCGAAGGCTCTGCGGAGGACTTGGGGGGCCCCTGCCCCGAGCCCGGGGGTGATTTGGGGGTGCTGGGGGCGAACGGCGCTTCCCCTGGCCAGGGCGAGGCAGAAGAGCCGGCTGGGAGGAGGCGCGCGCGGCCGGTGCGGTCCAAGGCGCGGCGCATGGCGGCCAACGTGCGGGAGCGCAAGCGCATCCTGGACTACAATGAGGCCTTCAACGCGCTGCGCCGGGCGCTGCGGCACGACCTGGGCGGCAAGAGGCTCTCCAAGATCGCCACGCTGCGCAGAGCCATCCACCGCATCGCCGCGCTCTCCCTGGTCCTGCGCGCCAGCCCCGCGCCCCGCGAGCCCTGCGGACACCTGGAGTGCCACGGCCCAGCTGCGCGCGGGGACACCGGAGACACAGGCGCCAGCCTCCGGACGCCTGCAGGGCCCAGCCTCGCACGCCCAGACGCCGCCCACCCCTCGGTGCCGTCTGCGCCCCGCTGTGCCTCGTGCCCCCCGCACGCGCCCCCGGGACGGCCCAGCGCGGTGGCCGAGGGGCCGGGCCTAGCCCAGGCCTCCTGGGGAAGCTGGCGCCGCTGTCCGGGGCCTTCCTCTGCCGGGCCGCCTCCCTGGCCGCGGGGCTACCTGCGAGCCGCTCCCAGGATGGGCCACCCGCGCTCCTGACCAGCCTCGAGGCACCAGCGGGGCTGGAGGGAGGCCGTGCTGGCAGC